GTTGTAACACCCTTCCGGTGTCTAGCCGCTATGCTACGTGACGAAAACTACTGCCAAGTTGCCCCAGCGTAGGCAGAAGCAGTCGAGATGTCGGGATTGGATTTGAGCCACTGAGCTATCTGGAGCTTAAAAACAACAAATACTGCCTTTCTCTTGCTCAGAAGCATGGTGCTCCTGTTTCATCTTTGTTTGAAATCTACCATTGTGAATCAGAAATGGCTATTAGGAAACCAATTCAGACAAACAGTTGAATCCAGGGATAAACTTAGTTCCTCTAGGTGGCCTCCGTTTCAGAAGATAGCTTCTGATGGGACGTTCGATCGGTTAACCGGCGGCAGTCGTAGAGTTGAGATTCGACTAGGTTTTAGAACTTTATGCCAGTCAGTTAGATCTGAGTCGAGGTCAAGAACAGATTGACTTAGCTACTCATAAACCAGGAATTCAGTTGGATCATCCGTTTAAATCAATATCGATATGCGAATGAGCGTATTCCGCTACTGTCTGAAAACGAGTATGGATCCAAGCATGCTTTCAAGCATCGAATATCCGACCTTTGGGCTGTCAGTGGCTGCTTAATCGAGTGTGGCACAGTCTTATCTAGAACCCCGAACCTCAGGGAATTAACGCAGTTGTTTAGTGTGATTGCTGTGCATGGTTAACTGCGATGCCTTTGCAAGACGGGAAACATGGACCGCGCCCACTCGATGAGCCCCAAGAAGGGTGAACCGGTCGTGGGCTGTCGAAAAGCTTTCAGCAACCTTGTGGGTAGTTTCCTTTATGGAGCTGCTACATCTTATCGCCTATTGGATGAATTCACCATTACGGGTAGCCCATTTTGAATGGTCATCAAAGTATCTTTTGGTAGGGCGTTCCCCTAAAGTACATTGTGATTATATTTGCCGAGCAAGAGCATCTGACCTTCTGCTTACCTCTCCATTCCAGGCCCGCTTGTCAGCGCTTTGACCAATCAGTTCGATTTTCGACCTGTTGCAATGGCCGGTGCGGTGTTGTCAACAGTTGCTTTTCTCATCAGTGCATTTGCCAACAGCATCGACTTGCTGATTGGTGGATTCGGTATTCTCGGTGGTAGGTTTTGGCTGCGTACTAGAGCAAGTCTATGTCATTTTAATAATGGTGGTATCCGATGGCTGCCCTTGGTTAATAGAGCTCGCTGTTCATCAAGTATTCCTTCATGTCCTTTGGTCACTGGGTTATGCATCCGAAATTGATGTCCGTGTTTCCATCTCAGTTCGGAATGCTACCTCATGGGTTGGTTTTGGTGATTTAGTTTCCAAACCAACACCCTTTTGTTAAGGAAGACATTTTGTGGCACCATCCTCATTTCTTTCGCAACCCTTCTGATTTTGTAAACTAACCCGTTTGCCTCCCAAAAAGTTCCCAATGGAAATCTGCTTCGCAGTTGACCTAGAATTAAAAATCGACGCCAAAACGGATTATGGCGTCTATACATTTCCCACGCGGTCCTACCGAATCAGAAAGCTCTTTTAGGTTACAGTTATTTAGCGTGCTACGTAGTTTAGCATACTGGTTTTTCGTAACACCTCACGGTTTAAGATAACGAGGAAACATTGCACTGCAGCTCATTATTGCCTTGGTTACTTATTTCCTTTTTGAAGGACCACCTCTCCCAAGGTAGTGCTTTTGGAGGGGTCCATGAATTTAGTTTCAACGGTCAAGTCCCTTCCAGAGGAAGCCACTTCTCAAAAGAGACCTATTTGGTCCTTGAAGTTTCTCCAAAATGGAATAGCTGTAGCTGTAATTGTTTTGTACTTTGGGATACCGTTTTGGCGTTCACCTTCGACTAACGTAATAGTTTTCACATCCCACCACCCACGTCAATATCAATAAGGCAGAACAGTCGTATTTTTCTGGCATTTCAATGCTATTATGATATGTTGCGTTGACTGTCCTATTTTCTGGCTTCGGCATCATTAGTCTCCATTGTATTTGTGCGGCATGTTTGAAGCCATTGATTAAGACAAATCATGTCGGGTCAAGAGAAACCTGCAATAGTGCTAGCGGTATTGTCGTAAGGTCCCTGGTGGTGAGGTAATCTAGACCAGTGACGAAAGGTGTTGCCATTGTGGGGCTTTTGTGAAACAAATCAGCTGTTTTTGTAAGTGTTTGGTTCTGAGAACCGTGTTTACTTGGGAGTAGTTGTACTGAAAAAATTTCCTTCGAACATAACTGGATAAAGAAGGAAAAGAAAGAAATGCCTCCCCCGTATGAAGCAACACCGGAGTAAAGGGGCTTTTTAGGGCATCTTTCGGGAGTATGTTGTACCAGATAATATTACCTTTGCTTTTTTCAAGCAGTCAAAATAGGGCAGGTCAAAGGAAGTAAAAACATCGTTCAGTTGTAACACCCTTCCGGTGTCTAGCCGCTATGCTACGTGACGAAAACTACTGCCAAGTTGCCCCAGCGTAGGCAGAAGCAGTCGAGATGTCGGGATTGGATTTGAGCCACTGAGCTATCTGGAGCTTAAAAACAACAAATACTGCCTTTCTCTTGCTCAGAAGCATGGTGCTCCTGTTTCAGTAAGCTTGTGGTGGAAGAGCATTATTCAGTAACGTAAACAAGACTGACGTTGAGTAGACTAATGGTGACGTTTCACTAGAAGACTGATGGCAACAGATTAATTAATGCCAGATGAGATAGATGAAATTAAGCTTGGTGTAGAATAGGTGAGGGATAAAACTACTCTCTGATGGCCGGTAACTTCAATTTACTTATACAGGTGGATACACTCCCGTGGACAGCGAACGTGCTATCGCTTCTGTCTTATATAGTATCCTAATCGTTGTACTGTAACGCGAGTGGATACTCTGTGGTACCTATGTAAAACCGTCCCAAGTAATGAGAGTAGGCCGTGGCATACACATTACTCGTTAGTAACCGGCGTATCAAGCTGTCAAAGCTGCCAGTTTGGAAATGTGGATTGTCAGAACCCAGAAACCTATGTGAATGTGTGAAATAGATGGATCAGGCAAATGTTTGATGAGGTAATGTTCGTTCACCGAACATTACTGAGAGGATGGGAGGCTTCTGTATCGTTCTATCAATCAGTCCACCTCTTGCACTCCAGTATCGATAGCGTTTCTCGAAAGATCAGCATGTCGCTTCCTTCCGCTGTAGCAGACCGTCTGTCGGTTTTAGATCATTTTAGCTTGTTTGGTTCTTGCGGGAGATTAAGTAGGCTTGAAGAGAATAACTTACTATTTCTGATCAATTCACCCCACTTCAATTCCCTTGATCCTATGTTCCTCGTGTTGTAACGTTCTATCCAAAACCCTGGATAAAACACGAACCATGGAGGTATGTCGGTAGTTTGAGCAAGAACTATATTTCGAAACAGGACTTACGTAGCAGGGCTTCCCAGATGGTGGAAACATTTAGTCTGTGATGGATTGCGAAAACTACGACTTCTATGCCACAGCTCCGAAACAGAATAAGAGGGAAAATTTTCTAACTCTTGGGATTATCAGTGTGGCCTGAGTAGGTCGGAGTTCCTTTTCGTGGAACTGAAAGTCGAGTCGGAGCGGGAAGGCATGTTAATGGATGGATTCTGAGAGACAGCTCATTAGGAGTTTCGAAGTTTCACTTTTCGAAGTGATACAGATTTCACCAGGCCATGTGTCGGAAGTAGAAAGCACGAAATTTACTCTCGTTTTTTACTGGCATATTCAACAATTGGCTTACGTCTCATAGAA